CGCTGCGGGCGAGGTAGGACACACTGTCCTGCTGATTCGCTACAGAGGCTGGCGAATCGCCCTGCAGGACCTCATCAATGTGATGAGGTCTATAGTCTCCTTCATGGCTACACTCCTTGTATTGTTTCCAATCATCTATTCAACTTGTTTATCTCTATGCAGGTAAAACATATGTGACAATCATGTCCCAAGCCTCCAGTATGTTGTCCTTTCACGCCTGTGCCTGGAAAATGCTGTCCTTCAGGCTATCTCCACTTCTCAAAAGCAGGGAGCATCACATGAGTTTTATGGCAAAAAAACATAGATACTGCCCATTCCACCACACTCAGAAGGCTCCTTTTTTGTGACCATGTAACATTGAAAAAAGGTGTATTATTCTCTTCCTGTGTGTATGTTTCCAGGATACTCAGATATTGCAATGTTTGAGAGTCTTAACCCATTCAGAGATGGGATATTTCCTAGTGTGACGTCAAATGTCGATATCAGCACTTCTGAATTAAAGGGACAGCTTCAGTTATGATTTCATTTATAATCTCTTTAGCACCAGTGTGTGATAAGTGGATTATATGTCAGGCCAAGTAAAGCCTGTCACAATTAATGTGCTAATAAACTGGCAGCATGCAATACTATTAACTCAATCACAAGGGAATTAATGTATTTACAAAACCTAATTAGCAGTTTGTTACTGTCTAAGAAATTTAAACAAATCTGTAGCATCGCTGACCATCTGGGTTAGAAATCTCAGTTTGGGATTTAATTAGGAAATAATTGTGATAGAAAATTAGTCCTTATTAGTTAGCTAATGATCAGCTTTGCACTAATTGAAATGACTCTCCTGCAGGTTTGGGAAATCGTTTACGTGTGGGGGTGAAAAATCAAAAGACTTTGCATCCTTTGGGACTCAGAAAGCACAACAATTGATTAAATTTGAAAAGCAGATATTGTATTGAACAGCATGTAAAGGGCATTTTTTGAAAATGTGTGTAAAAAAAAATGCCGCAATTAGAGAGAGGGGAGGATACATCAATTTTTAATGTAATGGTGTGTACACACACACAGAGTCTTTTGTAAAATGAGGTTTTTTTAAAAAAAAAATGCTAAGATGACAACATCCATAGCCAGCCTGAAAATGAGGTTTAAGAAAGACTGTAATTGTAAACAGGGAAAGCTGTCCTGATTTCTGTTAAATTCAAAAGAGCAAAGGTACTTCAAAGAAAAGGGATAGATGGCCATGCCAATGGTCTCATTTGTAATGAAAGGGTTTATTCTAATTCTATTCCATCTCTTCCAGTTACATCCTCCCATATTCTAGACCTATTACAAGTAGTGGTCCAAACATAACATTTTCTAGCTCTCTTGTTTCATTGTTACCACCTCATCCCTTGAAGAGAAGGAAGCATCCTAGCATGCTGCCAGGACATTTCCTCGACAGAGCAGGCCAGACGCCATTACACAATGTAAGGCTACTTCCAGCATGTTCCATAAACATCCTGGAGGTGTGTTAGGACATTTCCCCGAGAACATGTTCCCTAGAGAAGAATGGGGGAAGCCGGGCAATGATGCTTCCCGCTGTGGAATAAGGTAAAGAATGCAGTGGGCGATGAAGGGCATGGGGCAATGGTTTTCCCCTGCTGCCCCATGGATTCACCATGCTGTGTGGCAAATCCTTCCTCTGCCCCATGGCTTCAAATCTCAATGTGGTGAGGTCCTTAGTGAGCCCTTATTTTTTTATAAGTACAAACCTTCACTTACAAGCAGATTCATAAAGAATCCTCACTGAAGGACAAGCTAATTGTTTTAAGGCATCATTACTGAAGTCATCTCAACCTTTCCTGTATCAAGAACCTGGAAGTTGTGTGTTACTTGAAATGAGTACTTTGGCAATTAGTTACTTTTGGCAGTAACCAGCTGGAAGAGTGTTACTTTTACCTGTAAGGACCAGGAGTGTAATTCACTTCTTTTCAGAATATAATAATGGAGGGGGAGTAGGAAGGGTCACACGTGTGGCTGTATGCAACTACTGAAAATAATAATAATAATAATAATAATAATAATAATAATAATAATCCTGACCTCACGACTGTGTTAAAAAACAAAGTATGGATCGTCAATGTTGCAATCCCAGGTGACAGCAGGATTGAAGAGAAACAACTGGAAAAGCTGACACGATATGAGGATTTAAAGATCGAACTGCAAAGACTCTGGCACAAGCCAGTCAAGGTGGTCCCAGTGGTGATAGGCATACTGGGTGCAGTGCCTAAAGACCTTGGCCTACACTTAAACACTGACACTGGCACTGACAAAATTACCAGCTGGAGGAGGCCACCTTACTGGGGTCTGCACGCATTATTCGCCGATACATTACACAGTCCTAGACACTTGGGAAGTGTCCAACCAGCAGAGTGTCTGCTGTGGACTCATCTTGTTGTGTTTCAAATGATAATAATAACAACAACACTTTATTTATATTCCACCCTATCTCCCCAAGGGGACTCAGGGTGGATCACAGAACACATACACGGCAAACACTCAATATCATTTTGGACAGATAGGACAGAGACAGTCAGAACAGAAAGAATGTATGATGTGTCAACTTACAGCTTTTTGGCATCTTGGAGGTTATGCTCAAATCCGGCCACAACTGGGTGCTGTTGCTCCATCCTCTATGACAAAGAGCCATCAGAACTTCCTCTTTCCTTTTGGTCACTGGGCATTTTCTGATTTTTTTCTTTATGGTGTCATAAAATACCTTACTTTCTTGTTTTAGCGGTACCTAATTTTTCTACATACTGCTCTAGCTGTTTTTGAACTGCTTAAGTAAACAGTGAGCTGGGCTGACAGTCGGGTGTTCACGCTGACCTGGGGCTTCGAATTGGCAACCTTTTGATTTGCAACCTTTCGAACTGGCAACCTTTCGAGAAGTAGAGCAACCTGCAACAGAGGTGTGGAGAGAAGCGGAGGTAAACTGGTGATGACACACTGAAAATGCCAGGTGCACTACAATTTTTGGTATATTGAAATATTTTAAAATATATAAAAAAAGTTACTCTGCCTTTACTACCCTTCCTTCCAGTCTCTCAAAAATGCTGCTGCTACCAAAAGATTGAGAGAGAGAGAGAGAGAGAGAGAGAGAGAAAGCATGTGAGGGGGGAAATCTGGCTTTCTTGACTGGCTGCTCCCAACAAGAGCACAGGGCATGCACTTGGATTTGCTGGATAAGTGTGGACTGTAAGAAAGGTAATTTAGAGGAGGAGGCATTTCCCTGCACACTGAGGCAGGCTCAAGCATGCAATTTACAACAATTGTTTGGGGAAGGGATAGATAGGAGAGGAAAGGGGATTGAGTTAATATTTCTGCACACCTATCCAAAGAATTTGTGTGCAGTGTGCATGGCAGCTGTATGATATGTGCAGGTGAGGGAGGGAAATCTGGGTAGAATAGTTGGTTGTAAATTATGATGGTCAGGGATGGAGGAAATAAGAGAGCATTTTCCTGTATTTTTCAAAGGTACAATAATAGTAATGGTAACAAGTTAGATATATTTAATGCTGCAATTTCTGGATAGCAGTAACTGTAACAACTGATGTTGAATGACGAGGAAATAGCTAGAATGCCTCTGAAATACGAGTATCTCTAGATGACAGGGTAAGTGATATTAAGGCTTATGGGTAACATGTACATTCTTGACATCCATACTGTGGGCAGGGGGTTGTGAACTGGTTCTAATTCAGTTTCTCATTTGGAATGACAATATCTGATAGACATCAGTTTCTGTGTGCACACATGGAAACACACACATACTGTACATACGGCCAACAGGAATTGGCTCTTCTTTCCTTATGAAGGATTCCAGTTACAAGTGAGATCAAATACAACTGGTCTTCTGTATCACTATGCATGGATTTGGCCGCCACAGACTCAACCAACCATGGTTTGAAATATTATTTTTTTGTTCTAAAAAGCAAACCTTGATTTTGCCATTTTATACAAGGAGTGCCATTTGGCTAAGCCACTGTACATAATGGGAGTATATAATGGGACTTGAGCATTCAGAGGTTTTATTATCTCTCTGTGCGTGTGTTGTTCCAGAACAAAACTCCAACAGATACCAAGGGCCCACTGTAATATTTTAGCATTTTTTAAAGATAAGAAATGATGTATAGTACTCACATTAACCTGTAAATAAGTTGTTCCAGATTTTGGTGGTGGCTAAAGTGGTGCAAGTGCCCAGTGGTACACCGGGTTAAACCACTGAGCTGCTGAACTTGCTGACCGAAAGGTTGGTGGTTCGAATCTGGGGAGCAGGGTAAGCTCCCACTGTTAGCCCCAGCTTCTGCCAACCTAGCAGTTCGAAAACATGCAAATGTGAGTAGATTAATAGGTACCACTTCGATGGGAAGGTAACAGTGCTTCATGCAGCCATGCTGGCCACATGACTTTGGAGGTGTCTATGGATAAAATCAGCTCTTCAGCTTAGAAATGGAGATGAGCACCACCTCCCAGAGTCGGACACAATTAGATTTAATGACAGGGGAAACCTTTACCTTTACTTTAAAGTTTGTACATTCACAGATTAGTATATAGTGTAATCGGAACAGTATGCATAGTATTGTCTAGGGCCCATAGTCCAGAACTTGCCAAACATTTCATGTTGGGTGACACACTATTTTTAGACATGCATTTTTTGCAACACAGTAATTCAACTTTCCTAGCAAAGCAGAAGTTAAATCAACCCCCTATAAAAGATATGTCCACATACATATTGTAATAACAAAATGTATGGGGATACAACATATCTCATGAAAATGTTTCATTTATATATTTAAAATATATTATGTATTGCTAATTTCGCATAGGCTCCGAGGTTGCTCTTTACGTTCTTGTGACACACTAACACGCTGCAGCATGACACACAGTTTGGAAAGCTCTTCCATAGTCAGTTACCTAACTGAAATCAGTGGAGTGGATTGTACATTTGTAACCCAAACATTACTAGAGTTAATGACTAACATTATCCACGTGATTGGATTGGGGAGAGCACAAGCCAGTAAACGCCCGAACCATGCAGGTAACTATAGATAGGTCCTTACAAATGTATATGATAAATGCCTAATTTGCAGTGTTAATTATTTTGAAAACTTTTTCTTTATTGATTCAAGCACAGAGTGTTTGAGGACCGGGACATCCGTAGGGATACCAAGGTGCTTGTTTATAAAGCTATTCTCCTCCCAACCCTGCTATATGCCTGTGAGACGTGGACTATCTACAGATGTCATATGCAACTCCTGGAATGATTCCATCAGAAATGTGCCAAGAGGAAGGCACATCAAGCCAACCCTGACCAGGACCATCTTCCACCTTGAAACCGATGCCCTCACCGTGGGAGAACATGCAAGTCAAGAATACTTAGGCGATCCCTCGTTGGCCTAGTAGGATAGTCTTCCAGAATCAGTATTCTTGTGGATCCGTAGGTGACTGTTGAGCCCTAATCTTGACCTGCATCATCTCCTGCAGTGAGGGCATTGGTTTCCAGGTGGAAGGCGGTCTCGGTCGGGGTTGGCTTGATGCACCTTCCTCTTGGCATGTTTCTCTCTTTCACCCTCCGTTCGGCCTCTTCAAATTCTGCAGCACTGCTGGTCACAGCTGACCTCCAGCTGGAGTGCTCAAGGACCAGGGCTTCTCAGTTCTCAGTTCTCAGTGTCTATGCCAGAACATTTAAGGTTGGCTTTGAACCCATCTTTAAATCTCTTTTCCTGTCCACCAACATTCCGTTTTCCGTTCTTGAGTTCAGAGTAGAGCAACTGCTTTGGGAGACGGTGGTTGGGCATCTGGACAATGTGGCCGGTCCAACGGAGTTGATGGCGGAGGACGATCACTTCAATGCTGGTGGTCTTTGCTTCTTCCAGGATGCTGACGTTTGTCCACTTGTCTTCCCAAGAAATTTGCAGGATTTTCCAGAGGCAGTGCTGATGGAATCGTTCCAGGAGTTGCATGTGACGTCTGTAGACAATACACGTTTCGCAGGCATATAGCAGGGTTGGGAGGACAATAGCTTTATAAACAAGCACCTTGGTATCCCTACGGATGTCCCGGTCTCAAACACTCTCTGCTTCATTCGGAAAAATGCTGCACTCACAGAGCTCAGGTGGTGTTGTATTTCGGTGTCAATATTTTCTAATGTTACAGCATTAAGCTGTATCTCTGGCATTAGAGAGGGGTTGGCTGGAACAGCACTTTGTTTTTCTCGATGTTCAATGACAGGCCGAGCTTCTTGTATGCTTCTGCAAAGGTGTATAGAGTGGCTTGAATAGAGTGGCAAGAATAGGGCTCCACAGTCACCTATGGACCCACTACCAGTACACCGATCTTGGAAGACAATCCTACTTGGACAATGAGGGATCGCCTAAATAAAATAATAATAATAATAATAATAATAATAATAATAATCTAAAATAAAAATAATAAATTTACCAGTGTAATTTCATGTGCCTACTCAGATGTAAGTCGTGTTGCATGCATAAAGACTTACATCCAAGTAAGTTTGTGTGTGTGTTGCAGCCTAAATCAAACTGCACACGCTGAAAATGTTAAATAAACAAATTGTTACTTTTCCTGAATGATGTTATTTAGTACTGAGAAACTGTTTACATATTCGGAAAACTGAATGAGGGTTCTACAGGGGCTGTAAATCACACAGTATTGAAAGGAAGTCCCAGCTGGCCTTATCAGTCTCAGTGTAAAATTGTTAGAGGTCTCCCCACCAGCTAATAAATTTGATTCAGGGTTGTTTCTGCTGACATTTGTGCAAACCCTCTGAGAATGATTGTTACTGTAGTGTGCTTTCCACAAAGTGTATTCAGAACTGAAATGCTACTTTCTGCTTTTACAGCGGTTGAAGAATGAAGCTCTACATTACTGTTTTAACAGCCTCTGGTCAATATATGTACTGTCTAACTGACTCCCAGTACCAGTAATTTTTTTTAACTGGCATCTTTTTTAGCCATCTATGGGGTTTTGTGAATTAATACAGATATAGAAAATAATGAACAGCTCTTCTCCCCATCCCATCGCATTCCCTTGTGTTAGCCTGGCTATGCACTCATTTATTCTGAATACTGGAAACAACTGAAAAAATTAGCCAGTATATCTAAGATGCATTCACAGGTACATGGAGCATGACTCTGGATTAAAGCACGAGCCTCTGGTTCAAACATCACACGCACTAGTTGGCCTTTAAATAATGATTCCTTCACAATCGTATTGGTCTACCATAGTAATGTATGCATAGCAGAGGAAAAAATTAAAATTTGTTATATGAGTTATTTTATTATTAGTTACTTCTAATCCCTGTGGTACTTCTATAATGTTTGTTGGTTCCTTTCCCCACACTTGGTTCATGCTACTTCTGTGCTTATTCCATACTTAGCAAAGTCCTGTTTTCATCAGTGTCTACTAGCCAATGGTAGTAGTTTCCAATATAACAATGTGTTTAGATCAGTGATTCTCAACCTTCCTAATGCCGTGACCCCTTAATACAGTTCCTCATGTTGTGGTGACCCCCAACCATAACATTATTTTTGTTGCTACATAACAGTAATCGTGCTACTGTTATGAATCGTAATGTAAATATCTGATATGCAGGATGTATTCTCATTCACTGGACCAAATTTGGCACAGAAACCTGAAATACCCAAATTTGAATACTGGTAAGGTTGGGGGAGGGATATTGAGTCTGTCATTTGGGAGTTGTAGTTGCTGGGATTTATAGTTCACCTACAATCAAAGAGCATTGTGAACTCCACCAACGATTGAACTAAACCACACTTGGAACAGAGAACTCCCATGACCAACGGAAAATACTGGCTTTGATGGACACTGACCTTGAATTTTGGAGTTGTAGTTCACCTACATCCAGAAAGCACTGTGGACTCAAACAATAATGAATCTGGACCAAACTTGGCACGAATCCTCATTATGCCCAAATGTAAACACCAGTAGAATTTGGGAAAAATAGACCTTGACATTTGGGAGTTGAAGTTGCTCAGATTTATTGTTCACATATAATCAAAGAGCATTCTGAACCCCACAAATGATAGAATTGGGCCAAACTTCCCACACAGAACCCTCATGACCCACAGAAAATAATGTTTTTTCAGATGGTCTTTGGCAATCCCTCTGACACCCACTCACAACTCTCCCCCCCCCCCCCCCCCCCCCCCCCCCCCCCAGCATCCTGAGAAACTGGTAATGTGAAATTGGAGAGTAATGTGAAATTGGAGACTAAACAGTTACTAATACCTACAGAAATATATCTGTACTGCAAATTTAAGCTGGTTTAATTATCTACCTCTCCAGGAGCCTGTAACTGAGAATGCTCTTTGTCCCCATCAAAACAGTAACCAAGATACTTTGGGAGAAAGCCAGAATGGGAAAATGTGTTTGAAACCGATTTACATGTGAAGCATAGATATATATTTGTAGTTGGATGCAATAATTCTTGTAAAATACAATTGAAATTGGTTTAGGAAGCAGTGAGCAATAGATTGATGGCTAATACAGAATGTGTTTTACTGTTTAAATTTATTTTCAACGTAGGCTGGACCAGCGGCGCTCTCTGTTTATGCTCTGCGCTTGGGACCAGGAGAAGACATCCTTTCTACCTTGGTCAAATTTGTGAAGGACAAGAAGCTAAAATCTCCCTTCATCATGACTTGCGTGGGGAGCATCACCAAAGCAACATTGAGACTAGCAAATGCCACAGCTTCAAATACTAATAAGGTATCAGGATATTCATGAAGGTTTATCTAATGCAAAATTTATTCCTGGAGAGAGTCTCAGTTGCAACTGAGAGACACGAGAGAAGCCTCCTCGCAGGATAGTAACACATTTAGGCATCCCTTGGACAATGTCTTTGTAGATGGCCGATTCTCTCACATCAGAAGCAACTTTCAGTATGTAACCAAATCATAGGATGCCTATGCCCTACACTGCTGAAGAAATTATATTTCGATATTACACCACCTGACATCTGTCGGGAAGCAACAGCCAGTAATGAAAAGACCAAGGCATTGACATATCTGGCCCATCTTCTGTTTGGCTATCAGCCAGCAAACCAATGCTTTAAATCAATAAATAGCTTCCTAAGATCTACAGAGATACTTGCAGGAACACCTCAGCAAGTGAGAGTCCAAAAGTGGCAGTTAAAACCTGGAACCTCAATCTGTGGCTGATACCAGATGACAAACTCCCTCCTGGGCACACAAAAGACTGGCACTGAACAGACTACGCTCTGGCACCACGAGTTGCAGAGCTAATCTTAAGAAATGGGGCTACAAAATGGAGTCCACGACATGAGAATGCAGAGAAGAGCAAAACACAGACCACCCACTACAATGCAGCCTGAGCCCTGCCACATGTGCAATGGAGGACCTTCTCACAGCGACACTAGAGGCACTCTAAGTGGCCAGCTTCTGGTCAAAGGAAAATTAGTATAATGCCAAGTTTTTAACTTTGTTTGTGTTTTTTTAAATACATTACAACTGTTCTCTCAATTCGCTTCTGACACAAAAAATAAATAAATAAATGGTTGCAACTGACCTCTAAGTGTAGACTTCCTAGATGGCTTCTCTTTCAGTAATAAGTCTAGACTAGAGTTTTCCAAACATCATGTTAGTGACACTCTTTTTAGACACACATCATTTTACAACACAGTAATTCAGTTTTACTAGCAAACTGGAGGTTAAACCCACTCCTCGTAAGGGATCAGGACACACACGCAAATTGTGATAATGAAATGTATGGTGGCACAACATATCTTATGATATATTTTAATATATGATTAGTAAGATAATAACATACATTTCCAAAATTTTATCATGCCTTGTTATGATTGCATCACACACCTCCACATTGCAGCCAACATATTAATGTGTAATGACACACAGTTTGGAAAGCTGTAGTCTGGTGGTAGGATTTTAAAATAGAAGGCCTTACTTAGTGGCCCTTAAGGGAAGCCTGAGAATGCTTGCAGAGCAGTTGCAGAATTTGCAGTGAATGGGTTTGTGAAAATGTCTTCCATTGCTACGTCACTCCTTCTCCTAATGCTGCTGCTTTTCTTTTCTTGCAGATTGTTCACCTAGATGAACGTTTTGAAATTGTTTCCTTGGTTGGGACTCTGAATGAAGCTCCTCACCTACATATCTGCCTGTCTGACAAGGATGGCAAGACTATTGGGGGGCATGTTGTGAGTGACTTGGAAGTCTTCACCACAGCTGAGATAGTGGTTGGGGAATGTGATGGCCTGTGGTTCAGTCGGGAGATGGATGGCAGCACTGGTTTCCCAGAACTTGTGATTAGTTCTTGCTCTAAAACAGCTTAGCAGTGCCTGTCCTGTAAATTATGTGTCCCCTCTGCGCCCAAAAGTGGATGAAATAAATGGAGCTGGAGCATGCTTTCTTGCTCTTAAGCGGGCGCCTATTGATCCAGACATATTTTCACTCAGAGGGAAAGACAATTCTTCAGAGCAAGGACAGAATAAAATAATTTCAAGCTAACTCTTGTCGTTAATTTGCCTTTTGCCAGCACTTCTTCACGCCAAACAAGCGGTGTTTAGCTTTCTCCGAGTAGGGGCTGAGCAGGGCCCCTGGGGGATTTGTGGCACTGATTGGCCGTGAAGAAGGGGATTGGGTTTGGGGGGCTGGGGGAGCAGGGAGGAAAGGTTGAGGTTGGCAGGGAGCTAATGAATGCACTATGTTTGCTCATCTTTACAGAGTCACTTATTACCACTAATTGGGAGGGACAGTTCAAACAAGCACAGAGGAGCAGTTGTCACACGAGCGTGACATGGTTTTAAAGAGGCAGTTATGGAGGATTGCACTGCCTGGTCCTGCCCCCTGATCTCCTTCTGCATCCTGGCTTAGTGCCTAGCACACATCCGACTCAAAGTGGGGCCTTTGTCAGAAGGCCCCATTACAAGTCAGCAGTCTTTTAAAAAAAAAGGCAAGGCGAGGCAAGTCATTTGAGGGAGCGAGAGACAGACGCACAGCTGTCTCAGGCACTCAGAAAGTCAACAGCTGACGGAAGGGGTGGACTTCAGTTTTGGCTCCAAAAGGATATAAAGATGTGATTGGAATTAATCGGTCACGCATAGTTTAGAGTTGTTCTTCATTAAAAGCCCTTTCCTTGAAGAGCACCTTGTGGCATTTGGAAGCGAAAGCTAACATTAGAAAGTGAATTGCTCATTATTTCACATCTGTGAGATGACACCCTTTGATTTTAAAGTTTCCAAATTAAAATCACCTGACAAGTTTTTGTCTGATCTTCTAAGATTAAAAATATTGGTAATGGGGAGGAATCTTGTGACAGGGAAAGCTAGGTCACCTCCATCTCCTCCCTTCCCCCAAATTTTGGTCAGTGTTATTGTCCTTTGTTCCCATCACCCAAACAATGTCAGACCCAAAGAAGGAAGTACCAAAATGCTTCCATTTATAACTCCAAGGCACTAATGACTGACTATACTTACTTACTTAGGCGATCCCTCATTGGCCAAGTAGGATAGTCTTCCAGGATCAGAATTCTTGTGGATCCGTAGGTGACTGTGGAGCCCTATTCTTGATCTGCATCTTCTTCTGCAGTGAGGGCATTGGTTTCCAGGTGGAAGGCGGTCTCGGTCGGGATTGGCTTGACGTGCCTTTCTCTTGGCACATTTCTCTCTTTCACCCTCCATTCGTGCCTCTTCAAATTCTACAGCACTGCTGGTCACAGCTGATCTCCAGCTGGAGCACTCAAGGGCCGGGGCTTCCCAGTTCTCAGTGTCTATGCCAGAGTTTTTAAGGTTGGCTTTGAGCCCATCTTTAAATCTCTTTTCCTGTCCACCAACATTCTGTTTTCCATTCTTGAGTTTGGAGTAGAGCAATTGCTTAGGGAGACGGTGGTCGGGCATCCGGACAACATGGCCAGTCCAGCGGAGTTGATGGCGGAGGAGCATCGCTTCAATGCTGGTGGTCTTTGCTTCTTCCAGCATGCTGACGTTTGTCCGCCTGTCTTCCCAAGAGATTTCCAGGATATGCTATCTATCTATCTATCTATCTATCTATCTATCTATCTATCTATCTATCTATCTATCTATCTATCTAAATGTGTAATATTCGTTTGTGGGATTAACATAACTCAAAAAACACTGGATGAATTGACACCAAATGTGGACACAATACACCTATCAGGCCAACGAATGCCTCCCATTCACAAAACCACATATATACACAAACACACATATATACACATATACACTAATACACACACACACACACACACACACATATATATATACACACAGAAAACACATATACACAGACTGAGCCACAGCAACGCATGGCAGGGGATGGCTAGTCTATCTATATATACATACATACACACACACATATATATACATATACATACTGCAGTATTCATGCATGTTTCTGTATGGCAGGAGTCCACAAACATTTTAAACAGAGGGCCAGGTCACAATCCCTCAAACTGTTGGAGGGCCGGATTATAATTTGAAAAAAAAAACATGAATGAATTTCTATGCATGCTGCACATATCTTATTTGTAGTGCAAAAAACACTTATACACAATACAATAATTAAAATGAGGAACAGTGTTAATAAATATAAACTTATTAGTATTTCAATGGGAAATGTGAGCCTGTTTTTGGCCGATGAGATAGGATTGTTGTTGTTGTTGTGTGCTTTTAAGTAGTTTCAGACTTAGGTTGACCCTGAGCGAGGGCCGGGTAAATGACCTTGGGGGGCCGCATCTGGCCCCCGGGCCTTCGTTTGAGGACCCCTGCTGTATGGTAATACAGTGGTGAGCTATTTATTGGAAGGTCTAGATTTCCCTGTCCAGAGCTCCAAAATCTAGTTAAACTTGAAGTAATTTAGATGAGTTAGGATATCTAGATGACTTGACATAAGAGGACAATGCTGTCAACCTGCCTTTACTGCATCCAGGCCACAGTATCAATAAGTAAAACTGAATATATATCAATACATCTTCAGGTTATACTTGCAATCTTGCTTTCACCTCAACGTTGCCTTGGAATATCCAGGATTTGCAGAATTCAAGTGTTACCCTGTTATCTGCTACACTAAGAATCAGTTCTTTGAATCTATTCAGATGATGAGTAATTGCAAATTATCTGTCTTCTGACATATAACTTCCAGAAGTATCCTAAGACTCTGCAAGAAATAGTGTATCAAAATAATATGACCCTCAAACAGGTCACTATGTTATTCCTTAGTAAACATTTATGGTCCTTCTCATTTGATCTGCTGCATCTTAAAACAATGGCAAAAAACTTCTTAACTGTGGCAAAGGAAGAGGCTCACAGCAGAAATCCAGTTCTACTCCAGAGATTTTCCACACACACCCCAAGAACTGTGAAAAAGCTCCTGTGGTGTCCACAAAGCTCCCCTCATGTTGAATCGATTCAACAGAATAACATTCTTTACAAGGAAACTGGTTGATTTATAAATATTTGTTAAAATTAGATAATGACCAATGTAGGTTAAAGATGAGAGAAGAGTTAATGATGGAACATTACCCAATACAAATACTCAAAGATAAATAATTGAGTGATTTAAAATGGATAAGAAATTATTTGGATTTGAAACATTAAGCCAGAGTTCTAAAACTTATTCTGCTCATGGGAGAACCATTGGATTGCTAAAATGTATAAGCTGCTGTTAAAATAAAAAATAGAGGAAGAACAAGTGAAAGATTGTCCGGTTAAATGAGTTCAAAATATAGGCACACAAATCCAGTTGGAACACTGGGAGAAGGTGTGGACATAAGAGTTGGAAGTTTACTTTGAGTAATGATCTGAGAGAAAACTTTTATTACCTGATATACAGGTGGCGTTTGACACCAGAGAGATTCTCTAAAATGAATAAAGGCAGTTCTAGTAAATGTAGGAAAAGTGAGCACAATGGTGGGTCATTTTATCATTTGTGGTAGTCTTGCAGAAAGAAAAATTGGACTTACACGCAATGCTAGAAGAAATCATTAAGGTTAGATTTATGATGAAATCTGAGTGTTATCTGCTGGAAATGCTGGACAATCATCTAGAAAGAAAATTTGAAAGATGATTACACAATATAACTGCAACAGAGATGGAAGGAACCAGTTATCCCAATGCAAGAATGGCTAATGAAGATCTGTGAAAAAGCCGAGATGAAGAGGTTTACTATGCTGATTAAGGAGAAATCTTTGATCAACATCATGAAAGATTGCCTTTTCATAACAACAGTCAGGTCAATTGTCAAATGTAGGATTTATGAATTAGAAGAGTAACAGGCTATCCACAAGCAACGCCTTTGGCATTAGCATAAAAGATTCTTGAGTTCACAATCTTGTGCTGGAGGCAACGTCTTGCTGGATGGTGTTATTGTGAACTTGTTGTATGAATCCTGGACTAGAACTGGACTTTGGATTCTGTCTTATGTAAAGGTAAAGGTTTTCCCCTGACATTAAGTCCAGTCGTGTCCGACTCTGGGGTGTGGTGCTCCTCTCCATTTCTAAGCTGAAGAACTGGCGTTGTCCATAGACACCTCCAATGTCATGTGGCTGGCATGACTGCATGGAGCATCGTTACCTTCCCGCTGGAGTGGTACCTATTGATCTACTCACATTTGTATGTTTTCTAACTGCTAGGTTGGCAGAAGCTGGGGCTGACAGCGGAAGCTCACACCACTCCCCGGATTCGAACCTGCAACTTTTCGGTCAACAAGCTCACCAGCTCAGTGGTTTAACCAACTGTGCCATTGGGGGCTCCCATACTGTCTTACAATTCTGTCTTACAATTAGTTATACTGTTACTTAATGGCTTGTTTCACCTCAGAACGTGAACACTGACTTGCTGGCTCTGTGATTGTGGATTGTCAAAGAATTCAAGAATTCTCTGTGTATGACCTCTGGACTTGGATACTGACTATCTGTGTTTGAGTGTGAATGAGGCACATCATGACAATTTAATTTGTGTGCATGTGTGTGTAGTTGTGTGTTGTTTGTGTTTGGATGTAGGTTTGCAGTTAGTTGTAGAACATAGCTCTGTACTTTTAGTATTACATATCATATAATGTTGCTTTTTGTATTGTCACTGCCCTTCTATTGTGTTCTCTTTTCTTCTGAATGATTTTTTTAAAAAAAGAATTGCTGTATCAAAGGATGCATAGCCAAAAAAAAAAAAAAAACCCTTGGTGCTGAGTCAATTGTGTCATTCAGTGAGACTCCCTTCTTGAATTATTGATGTGGTGAGTCTATGAGTCCTTCTTGGACCAATACTGTGGGCCCAAAAGGCCTCTGAGTTAAACTTCTTCTGGGTTAAACTAATTTGAGGGGGGGGGGTATGTGAGATTCTGAACCCTCCGTAGCTGTGTTGGCAGCCGTCACACACTTCCCAGGCTCAGGCGGCCTGGGGATGCAGGACAGCTATCCCCTCCTCCTGTCTCCTTCAGCCTGAGCCTGTGGACCACTGGAAGGCTATCAGGATTAGGGTTTCCCCCAAGTTAGG